AGTTGAGATTGTATTACACCTCATGACAGAGGTCTTAGTATACTCCTCATGGAGTTGAGATTGTATTACACCTCATGACAGAGGTCTTAGTATACTCCTCATGGAGTTGAGATTGTATTATACCTCATGACAGAGGCCTTAGCATACTCCTCAAGGAGTTGAGATTGTATTACATCTCATGACAGAGGCCTTAGTATCCTCCTCGTGGAGCTGAGAATGTATTACTTCTCATGATAGAGGCCTTATTTCAAGTACCATTTTCATATGAACTCTTAAATGTCTGCATATACACAAAGATTCTTTTAGCAAAAAGTGTACTCCCACCACATTGCTCATGTTTATAAATAAAATAATGAAAACAACCACACACTGCCATAATACAGGTAACCAAGGTAACATAGTTGTTACCACACAAGGTATCCTATCAGTAGAGGGGTTGTCTGATAGCCTAGTGGTTAAAGCATTTGCTCGTCACACTGAAGACCCGGGTTCAATTCTCCACATGGGTACAATGTGTGAAGCCCATTTCTGGTGTCCCCCGCCGTGATATTGCTGGAATATTGCTAAAAGCGGCGTAAAACCAAACTCACTCATTCACTCCTTATGATCAATACATCAAAGTACAATACAATAGTTGTAGTGATACTAATGATGTATCATAACACCAGGGACATATCTAGACTTGCTCAGAGGCTGATATTCAACCCCAAATCTGCAGCAAATGTCAGTAAAAATTCCCAAATTAGAACCAAGCACTTCCCAAGTCATATGTAACAAATGTTATATTTGGGATAACACTTTCTTTATCATGTTTATAAAGGACAGATTCTCATGGTCTTTGGGGATTTTGGATTTGAACCCGCACTGCCAGAGTGAGGCACCTAATTGGTTGGTTGTTTGTTTGTTGTTTAACACAGCACTCAGCAGTATTCAAGCTATATTGCAGTGGTCTGTAAATAATCGAGTTTGGACCAGATAATCCAGTGATTGACATCATGAGCATCGATCCATGCAATTGGGATACGATGACATGAATCAACGAAGTCAGCAAGCCTGACAACCCGATCCTGTTAGTCGCCTCTTACGACAAGCAAAGTTGCCTATTACGACAAGCATGGTTGCCTTTTATGACAAGCGTGGGTTGCTGAAGACCTATTCTACCCCAGCATCTTCATAACACTTACACATCTTATAAGCACTTCACAAACATAATGTCTTCCAGTCTTCCCTTTACCTCATTTGGTTAAAACTCTTTCAATGTCAAGCTGTAAATTTGCTGACGCAGCATAAAACAATATTTAATCATTCATTTTACTGTTAGTAATCTGTAACTTTCCCAAGAAAGGTCATCACCTGATTACTGCTGAATTACGGGAGTCATTGATTGGAAATTATACTTTCAATATATCGACTCAAATAATCAATATTATATAGATATGCTGATTCATAACTATTTTGTATGAGTATATATATATGTCACCAATGTAGACCTGCACTTAATGCAATACAAACATGAACAAGGCTAATCAACTTCATCGACAAAATTGAATTTTCTACCTCTCTCCGTTTCCATCTTAACAATGGTAATCTTAATAAATGTGGCAGACAATGGTTACTTAGTATCCATATCAGTGTTCCCGCTGGCCTTGAAACTGCCAGTCCACTTTGTTCGAAAAATATACTTACATGAATATCGCCGATGTTTTGTTCAACAACAAAGATTAATAAGGTACTTATTTGCACAATCCACAGGGACCAGCAGTAACATGAATTACCGGTCCAAGCCTCATTTTACTGGTAAAAAACTGGTAATTACTGGTTAACTGGAAAACCATACATTTGTATTAATACAGCATCAACATTAAAACTTTATTGACACATCAATATCACGATATACGATGACATTCCTATTAAGGGTCAATTGCAAAATTGTTAATCATGCTAAAGTAGGACATTTCCGAACATTTGCCCCAAGCAATACGCAATAATCCAGGCAGCTTGGTTAATGGCTGAAAGTCACTATCTGTTGGACACATCACTAAGATCGTCAACAATTACAATTAAGTGATTGAGCAGAGTGTACACTGCTTCAAGCAATAATCCAGCTACCATATTTGCCATAATAAGCGTCCTGAGCACTTAGAAAATTGCCCAAAATGGGTTCTTATTAAACCCATACACAAGATAAATATGTTGTCAAGTCCACTGTAAAGTGGTGAGTATGGTTTTACGCCGCTTTTAGCAATATTCCAGCAATATCACGGCGGAGGACACCAGAAATGGGCTTCACACATTGTACCCATGTCGGGAATCGAACCAGGGTCTTGGGTGTGACGAGCGAACACTTTAACCACTAGGTTACCCGACCGCCCCTGACTGTAAAGAACAAACTTAGTACAAACATCAATGAAAGTAAAACTGTTTCTGAACATAGTCACTCATAATGGAGTTTTAAAGCCTTTTTAGACTGCTGTATTTTCTGTACAAAGATCTGTATTATACACATAAAAAAATGGACTGTCATGTAAATATTTTGGTTTTAGTAGAATCTACCATGCTGTTCTGTGTACAAGTTTACATCTTGAACAGAGGGGGGCACAATGGTAGGAGGAACAGCACAAACACTCACTGCATGTGCCAAACACCCCTCTCATTCAATGGGGGGCACGGGTGGCCCAGTCGTCTAAGGCGCCGTGATTCGTTGTGCAGAGTTGCGTCCCTTGGGCACGCCAGAAACCTATGATTGTGGGTTCGAATCCCGGTTCGCCCCGATCATGTTTCTAGGTTTGTCAGCACCATACCCGTGCTCGTAGGTTTCACCGAAGTGGTAAACGTCTGATACCTGCATCACTTCGGTCTTTCCTCACACATTAAGCTGACACACCACGATATAACTGGAATACTGTTAAAAGCGGCGTTAAACCCAACTCACTCACTCACTCATTAAATGGACTGTTGAGTAGCAAAAAGCCTGAAATTCTACCAGTTCTACCAGTTCAGTCCACACTGTTTACCGCGGCGACAAAAAGCAAAATTATGCAGTCAATATTTGTAAATTCTGCAACCAAATTTTGATAATTCTGCACTTAATTCGGCAAACTGTTTTGCTTAGTTTTCGTGAATGTCGTAACTTTGCCCCTGTTTGACTTGTGGCAGGCATTATTATGATAAATCTATCAACAGGTAGAACAGCTTATTGAAGTGAATCTGGAGATCACTAGTGTAAACATACAGACATGCACTTTCGGTAAGCAGTAATATGAAAGTCAACATCACTTCAAAACAAAATAAAGATCTGTTTTCACGTCTAAAACCAGCTTTGGAATCATTAGTTAACATTCTGCAGTGTGTTTGATGACTTCTGCAGCAGACAAATGCAAAATTCCTAACGAGTCCTGTGACAAAATATGACTTTCTGCAAGACACATACATTTCTGCACCAAGCGGGCATTTCTGCAAAATATTCCGCAACTGCAGATTCGAAGCGGTGTCTGATAGACAAACTGACTCATGCTGTTAGCCAGACTCTGCCAATTTGCATCACATCACAATCTCATCCTGCCAGGTACTTTTTTTCATGGAAACTAGATCTTTTCAGCCTGGTAACTCTATGATGCCAAAACACTGTCTTCTCTAAATCATGCTCATTTACTAAATATACATACTTTTTTTATTAAACTATATCCTCTTTTAATTTTCTTTTTTTTGGTTCCAATTGAAAAGAAAAATTTATAGTAAATACGGTATCCAGAGCTACAGATAAGTATTTGCGAAAAATACCCCCCCCAAAATATTCAAAACCCAATTACAGTAAACTACGTTTATAACGAACACGCTTATAACGAACTGACGGATATAACGAACTTACTTTTTTGTCCCGACTATTTGCTGTAGTTATGCTGTATATATGCTTATAACGAACTACGGTTATAACGAACTAAAATAAGTGGTCCCTTTGAGTTCGTTATAACCGTAGTTTACTGTACTTTCAATGAACGTACAGAAACGCATGCCTTAAATGAAAAACTCAAATGTATAAAAACTGCTCACGTAAATACCCAATGAAGCTTTTTCAGCATGTGTACAAAGGAGCTAATTTCAGAAACACAATTACAACCTAATTTACTTCCAAGTCAAGCCTATATATTTAGAACAGTTATGGACATCTAAAATATTATTTCATTTTTTTTAAATCTTGAGAAGTTTACTCATTTTGAGAAAAATCCAACAGAGTGATGATAGATGAGTAAAAACATACTGGTTACCCAATGAAAAATGTAATAACCCAGTTAAAACAGAAATCCTAGAGAAACTCAATTGCTCAAACGTTATCTGGAGCGCTGGGTATCCATCTATGGCACATAAATTTGGTAAAATATACTTAAATGACATAAACATAACTCAACTGTATTGCATTACACGGTGATTCCTAATATTATGTCTACCTGGGACTGCGATTCATTTTTATAGACTTTTTGCCACGATTTTTTATATTAAATTATTAAATTTAATCATCAACATGTCACTTTGATTCCACTTATCAAATATTTTATCATCAATACATGATGTCAACAGGTTAAACCTTTGATTGCATATATTACTTAACAATTTGCTTATTACAATATTACTTGCTTTACTCTTTAACAAAATCATACACTATTATAGTGATTATGGTCATATTTATATATGTCTCTACTTGCTGTACAATGATATTTTTTGTCATAGAATGTTGCATGTAAGCGGCTCGTAAAGTTATAATATAAGCTAGACTAAATCTATTGCAATCATCAACTGATATGACATTTTGATAAACAACATGATACTAACGTTATTGAGTAACCTGCGAATGCACTGATAAACTCTTTTTCACACAAGATAACAATTTGTATCTGCCAAGTAGGGCACTATAGTAGACAATACGATTCGGTTATAATGAGACATATAAACATGATAAATGCATGATGCAAGTTGTCATTATTTTCTTTATGAAGTTTACTCACCCATAAAACTCCCTTCAAATGGACGGACAAATATCCGGCCACTTGACAATGAGGCTTGTCACCCATGTTGTTGGTAAATACATCAGCTAAATGATCCCCATATTCCACAACACGGAAGTAAAATGCTTTGCTCGGGAGTTATCTGCCCCTTCAACTCAATTACCGCGGTGCTTTATGGGTAATATTAAGTCTGACGTGAAATGGACTATAAGTCTCTGCTTTGAGTTTTAGTCGATACAGAGGTCGAACACAGGACGGATTAAGAATTTGTCACACATTTTGATTCAAACCTGACTTCGAGCAGTAATTGTATATTTACATTATTTAGCTGTTTGAATTATCGATAATAAATATATATCAGATAAGCCTACCTTTAAAACATCTCGACACGCAATGTCAAGTTATGGCATCGATCCATATCAATTAAGGTAGCCCCGACATGTAAGCGATATGCGTATGAATGGTTGAGATTTTGTCGATCCAAAATACCATCGAGGTAGGAATGTTGTTACGTGACGTGCTCATATGTAATATATATATTCAGTTTAGTTTTGTACGGGTTAAACAAATATAAAATAGCAATAAAATATCAAATGTTTTACAAGACTCAGAATGAGTTGGATTTTTTTATGAATTCCCTAAAAGCAAGCACCCTATTTGTAAAGGCTGTCATGTATCGACTGAATGGCTGGAGTGAATACCTGTATGCGTTTATGAGGTACACCAATTTCCCGATTAATCTAAAAGGATATAAAATACATAGATCTATATGCATTCCCTGTAGATGTTTGAAGCAATAATTCAGTTCTACCTGTTGGACAAAACACTCCACGCAAGACATAGTATATATATATATATATATTACGAATTCCCCGAAAGCCATCACGCTATTTATAATGTCTGTCTGTATTGATCGATTGACTGAATTGAATAGGTGTACATTTATGAGATAAGGGACACCGATGTCGCGAGTAACCTAAAAGGATATAAAATTACACATATATTGTTGACCCCCATAGGTGTTTGAAACAATATTTATTTACTAAATGAACATTTGTAAGCAGAAACAATTTTATAAACGTAAATCCCATCGCTCAATACACATATTATTCAAAAATAATAACCACACATTGCATTTCTCGTTAGACCCTCATGTACAGGTAACAGGCTTGACAACATATTTGCCGCAGTTTACAAACACAGCTAGCTGAACGGCAGGTGAAATCCTACATGGTCTGATTACCACCGTTTCGTGCTCATCGCACAAGTTAAACACTGTATACGTCCAGTGCTTACCTTCTTGGTTTAATAGTATATGCAAGTATACATGAAAATAGCAAGCATTTACCTTTGACGGTAGCCTTGCTCCAAATATGCTGTTTCTATATCCTTGTTTATTATCATTTGACGAGGATAACAGAGAATAATGACTTTTTCTGTCGCCTGCCCAATGAAATGGGTGACGCTTAATGTAAACTACACTTTTCAACAGCAGTCGGTGTGGCCGCTGTTTGGAAGAGCGGGTTTAAATTGTAAAGCCTCGGTGTGGGTTATCAATGCAATGTGAAAATGTCTTCCCCCCCCCCCCCGCTTGTGCCCCTGTAATCCATTACATCGTACATGTACAAACAACCTCGGGTGCGTCCACTACAACCTCTTTACCCCGTGCATAGTTGGGTTTTTTATGCAGCGTCCACTACAACCTCTTTACCCCGTGCATAGTTGGGTTTTTTATGCAGTGTTCGAAATAAGCGCCTGCCCGTAGGCCCGTGGCAGGTAGATCTCGTGTCGGACCCTTAGTTTCCAATCTGTTCTGTATAGATTTTTATGGCCGGCAGTATATTATGTGTCGATTTATTTGTCCAGTAAGCTGCCGTTTTTTTTTATTGAAGTCGTGAAGAGTTTAGTCAGGGCCTGCAGCTTCTAAAGTCTGTGGCAGCCTGGCAGTTTATTTTATTTCAAACACTGTTATATATGCATTGACAGGATTTACATGTGCATATCACATACGCGGATTTAGATCTATGAAGGAAAGGTGGCAAATGTGGCCACCTCTTTGTGCTGTATTGGTCCTTGTTATTCATACAATTCAAGATAAGCTTGGTGTTTGTTAACTGTTTAATGCCGCACTCAGCAATGTATGATCGGGGACTGTAAACAGTCGGGATGTGACCAGACAATCCTGTGATTAACATCATGATCAAGAGAAGCCAGTTAATATAGATTCATACAAAGCTCCATCTTCCCGGGGCAAGAGAGTTAACTGACTTTAAAAGTCCAGTTTCCACCTTTGCCGAACTAGGCTGGAATTCCTGGGCTCGATCGTAGCGCCACCAGTGGCTTTTACGGGTTATGTCCTTTCTATGCCTCTCCGATTGACCAATCAGATTCAACCTCTCGTATCAAAATAATACACATTTTTTGGAAGGCTCATGTAAATACTTATATTGTCAGTACACTAGTCCATCAAAAGCCTCTGACCCACCACCCCTGATCCCAGTTTTAAATGTCTGGTCCCTTTATTTGTTGATATGAGTCAATTTTACTAGGTGCGTTCGATTATGACAATTTGAGTGACCTTGTCGATCAAAGATACCTGAGGACAGTATCTGAAATAGAACGCAAAAATGCAACCTTAAACTAAGGTATATAATGGCTGCCAGGACACGGAGAACACAGCATGTGCTACAACAGACAGCTGTGAATGAGTATGGTTTTACGCCGCTTTTAGCAATATTCCAGAAACATCACGACGGGGAATACCAGAAATGGGCTTCACACATTGTACCCATGTCGGGAATCGAACCCGGGTCTTCGGCTCCCACAGCTATGACATTTCTTGACAAAGCTGTTATGGTATCTGTTCTATTGAATGCATGTGAACAACAACAAAGTTCAAAATAACGTGTAGAACATTAAACGACATGCAAATTCATCATTCCTGTTGTTTTATTATTCTATTCATATCAACAATCGAAAGTCTCATTTCCCTGACGCATTTGAGAATACACATGTACATTCGTTGGGGAATAAGGGTTTGCAGGTGGAAAATTATCTCTTTTATCTGTCCGTACCATTAACTTACTGTCCTCAGCCCCCTGCAGGTCTCCAACCATCCCATCTTCCCGAGGCAAGAGAGTTAACTGACTATGAAAGTCCAGTTTCCACCCTTGCCGAACTAAGCTGGAATTCCTGGGCTCGATCGTAGCGCCACCAGTGGCTATTACCAGTTATGTCCCTTCTAAGCCTCTCCTATGGACCAATCAGATTCCACCTCTCGTATCACTTGCATTTTTTTCAAATACAATGGCGGCGCCCAGTCAAGACGATATGATCGATATTGTGATAAAACAAGTCTTACATCGCGAAGTGCATCAAATCACGTGAGCACCTTGATTAGAAACATGAACAGATTAAGAAAGTATCTGTTGACAACGAGTTGGCGGTGCACATGCTTTGCAAATCCTGCAATCGACCGAAATCTGCACGACAGTTGACGAACCGGATTTCGATTTCGTTGCGCGATTTTGATTGGACTATGCATAGCCTCGTTAGTCTAGCCAAAATGTAACTCTATAATACCAGCCTAGTTCGGCAAGGGTGGAAACTGGACTTTTATAGTCAGTTAACTCTCTTGCCTCGGGAAGATGCAACCATCCGTTCCAAGCTTGTCCCCACAATAAACCATAAGATTACTGTTAACTGAAAAGCGAAGGAAAGGTCCCCTCTGTCTATATTGAGTCTAGCATGTTGAGAATGAGTAGCCTTGCTGTGGCTTTAAACATTTTTTGACAATGTAGCATACTTTGATGTAAACAGCAAATACAATTCACTTTTATCTCATCTTAATATATCACGTTAATCCTACTTATCTTGGGGATACTATACATATAAATCAAAGTTTCTTTTGAGTTAGAATGATTATCATTATCATTATCATTCAGCAAGTCTATGCTCATAATTTCTCTACTCTGAGTTTGTCGAGGGTACATTTCTGCATACTGAAATTAGCTTGGGTACATATCTGTTGTACCCGTCAAGACAACGACCTCTTCAGTTCTTCTCCCCCATGCGGTTGATCCTACATTAAATATTCTTCACAAATACTGTAAATCATGAAATTTGTCATCAAATTATTGCGAGTGTAAAACGCTGACCTAAAATGCGTTATGATATCAATGCCTTTGAACCTTAAAAGCCAATCATCAAACGAAAACGCCAAGACTGTAGACTTGGAATTCCATGATCTAGTACTGGCTGATGGAAGTTCGATCGAAAACCATCATTTGCTATCTTCAAAAACTTAACTTCAACTGTTGAAATTTCTATGAAATCAAAAGCAGGAACGTTAATCCTCATCTTTCGGGAAATAAAACATGAAAGAGCAACATGTGCATGCATTAAATGGAAATGTGCTTGCCTGTGTGACAATTTTCCTCGTCTTTTAGGTGAATCGTCCCTTCACTGGGAATAGTGACAAATGTTCTTTTTTGCTTGTATTTAGTGCCCCAAGAAAATACTATTGTGATGTTCTTGATGTATTCCATTGTTTCCCGAATTGGTTGCACAATATTGATAATGTTAGTGTGTTAAATACTTAATATGTTTATAGGTTTATTCATCGAGTGTAGATGACTACTTCAGTTTAGGATTGGTAATATTATTCATAATTATGATATTCCATTCATTATCATACCTTCAGATTATGACAAATGAATGTTTGATAATTATTTCCTAGAGAGAGATATGGAGCTTTGTGCGACTATTTCTATTACTGGGATTGTTAATACAATTCTTAATTCTGTAGGATATTACTACAAGCACAAGATTAAATTTGTATAATTAAATCTGTATAAATTTGAAATGGTTTTAGAAACTTGATAAAGTGATAATAACATGTATATTACCTATGCTTACGTATAAGTAAGCGTTCAATTGGTTTTTTTCAAGGCATCTTAGAATAGTGTGTCGTCTGCTAGCTAAGCTGGAGCCAACCATCTGGTAACAATTAATCACCAGCTGTCAATCACCCGGGACAGTGGAATGACCTCCAGATGAGTTCAAAGAGTGAGTGAGTGAGTATGGTTTTACGCCGCTTTTAGCAATATTCCAGCAAAATCACGGCGTGACGAGCGAACACTTTAATCACTA